CTGTTTGGAAAAAAAAAGAAGGTCTGAAGCTTTTCAGCAGCGGGTTTGATCACCCTGAGGATGAAGTCACTTTTAAAACATCTGGCTGTTTTTGTACCAGAAGCGTTTCTTACCACATCATCAAGACAGTGGTTAAAAATGATTGAAACAAACCTTTTTGCTTTTAAAACAAGTTGAATGTTCCCATGTGGATGTTTTCTCGGTACAGTTTCAGCCTCTTACAATAAGATACTTTGTGAACATGAGGCCGAAAACTCCCCTCAGATCAGAACGACATCTCTTCGGCAGGAAACGAGTGCAGTGACCTCATCGTGCTGATGTTTGATGAATGAAGAGCCAGCCTTTCAGTCTCTCTGCTCCACTCTGAAGTGCGTTTTCTTACCAGTGATCTTCCTCTCACTGTTTCTCCTCATCAGCAGTATCTTCATCCCTCGCTACTGTTACAGAAGATGAAGTTTCCCTCCCGGTGACCCAGACCTGGTGTGAACAGACCAGATGTGCTCCTAGACCCCATTCCTGATCTCCATTTATAAAGATCTTCCCTCCCTTTCCAGCACATGACAGCGGTGCCAAATGGAACACAGCTATCATAGACACCCTTCAGAGGCCTCTGACATTACAACCATGTCCTCTGTGATTTAAACGTTACCGTGTGAGGACGCCGGTCGGTGAGGCGTGCTGTCCACAGCTTGTCCTGTTCTCTGGGTTTGGTTCCACATCAGAGCAACAGCCGGTCAGTCGTCGACAGGGGGCCGCTCTGTGCACATGTGCTGCTGACAGAGTGTAGGACCGTGTTCCTTTGGGGGACAGAGCCAGATCAAACCCCACTCGCCGTCACTTCTCAGCCCTGCAGGGCAGCAGCATCGCCCCCCTCCTGTTCTCAACATGTCTGCCGATTCACATGCTCACGTTATGAATCCATGACTCTCTCCTCTCCTAGAGATGTGATATGTTGTGGATCGTGTGGCTTGTGCTCGCCTTCCCCTACTGGTGTTCTAGCTGAATCTGAACTATATGCTCCTCAAACTAACTACACCATGTCCCCATTATGGGGGTAATGGATTTAAACTGCCAGCTGCAAACTATAGCTAGCTGTGGTTTGTCCTGGGCTGGACTGCCTTACACAGGGTTGTCTCTGTTCTTAGCCTGGCCTCAGACATAGATGGACAAAACCACAAGACGTGTCAATGTAGCGTGAATCATTTGAACAGCAGCACAAACTCCAGCCGCCACAACGATCAGACACCTGAATCAACGCGTCCCTGAAACGGTTTGAACAAAATTGACTTGTTTAAATCAAATGTCAGTTCACTGGTTCCAGCTCCTCAGTGTGGACGCTCTACATGATTGGAAACTCAATATATAGTATTTAATATAGACATGGCTTTTAGACTGTGTCAGCAAAACACAGCAGAGCTGAAGTTGTTTCTTGGTTCATTGATGTCATGAAAATAGTCACAGCATGACCAGTGTATTGGTGGAGGGCTGCTTTTCCAAAAGACGTGCTCACTTCAGCCAGTAGTACAGTATGTGGACATTATTGGCTATATGAATCACAAACTGATGCCATGGAAGCACCGTACTGGCACAGGGGGGACCACAGACAGTTGCAGCGCGTTCTGCATCGTCAAACCAGGTTTTCTGGTTGTAGTTGAACGTCATTCCCAGCTGTGTCCTGGTAAATGGGCCTGCTCCTGTCCAGGAGGGTTGGGACCAGTGTGTGCTAGGTGTGACATCACTGGATTGGGCACAAAATGACATCATTATGCACGCACGCCTCTCAGCCCCGCCCCTCTGAGCTGCCCCAGTTGCCAAAACAAGTGAGTTAACTGAAGCGCTGCTCTGACCTAAATTCTCCCAGAGAGACGCCTCTTAAAGCTGCAGAGACGCAGACTGGACGCCAGACAGAGCAACAGACAGGGAGACGAGCAGGACAACACAGACCCAAACACATGGACATGGACAGAGACTTGGAGACAGGCAGACAGAGCAGAGGGACCAAAACAAAGATGGGCAGAGGCAGAGAGATTTGGTTTCAGACACAGAGACTGAGACACCCACGGATGGACAGAGACACAAATTAAGACTTAAAACAAGAAAGACAGATGCAGACATGGATAAGACGAGCAGAGGTAGAGCGGCAGAGATGGCAATGAACAACAGCAGACAAGAACAAGAAGACACACAGAGGTGGTAAAACAGGGTATCTGACAGAGGCAGAGTCTTAATCCAAAAGCTAATCATCTAATAAATGATGACGTGTCATTTCACCTCCACCAGCTTGAACGTTGGAGATGTTTACATGGGAACACTTCAGTATTTATAAAGCAGTAATGTCCCGTATATCCCTCTGAAACGGGCCGTGCTACAGTAAGAAGTAATAATGAGTACTCCAACTTTTAGTACTTTAACTTTATTTTGGTGTCAGTACTTTTGTACTTTTAGTAAAGTAAAGTTTTGGACCTTTTCAGGACTCTTTGTGTCCACGCCCTGATAATGATGCTTCCTGTTACTGTAAGTGGACCAGCTGAGTACTTCTCCACCCTGGGTCTCTCCACCTGCCAGTGTAAAGAACCACTGACTTGTGTTGTCTGAGCTCAAGAGTTCGATTCTGGGTTTTAACAGGTAGAGGGCGACGGAACCGACCACAACCTGAGTCACCACGTCCATGGAGTTTTCAATAAACCACAGGAAACGTATAGAAATGGTCATCGTGAGCCATAGTTAAGGGTAAAGGCACAGGTTGGAGCACAGTACTCATGGAGGATAATGGAATAATACTGAAATGAACCTGTGCTTTAATGTGTATACTCAAAAAGAGTCTAGAAGAATTAGATTTGGAGAAACATTATAATATCACATACATGTAGCATTTAACACATGTTCGGTTCTGTGAAGCTGGGAGTGTCTGTTCAGCCGAGGGAGGAACTCTGCAGATAGTATTAAGACATATTTATATTTGTTTCTGTCCCCGAAACCCCTGGTTAAGTTGAGTGTCTCTGATTTTAGCCTGTTTTTATGTTTAGCTTGCTTCACCTGACACGCACACGCATTAATCAGGCACACACACTGCTTGGAGTGTGAGCTCCAGGGTCCACATCTGCAGATACAGAGCCAACATCTGCACGATCGGGCTGGTAAAGCACTGAACACGGTGACACTGCTCACCACTGAACTGAAGCATGTGATGGTCGGAACAGAATAAATCAAATCCAGCAGAATAATCAGACTCCCTTCGCTTCTTTTGTGAGTTAAGGATCATTAGTCATCTTCCAAAGTCGACCTTAAACCCTGTTTGTATGCAAACGTCTGAAATCCCCATTAAATAAAGATGTACAGACAGTGAGTCTCCTAGAAGTAAAGAGTCACTTGTACACCTTGTAACAAACAAGAAGCCAAAAATATAAATATGTCATCTCTGTGCAGCTAAATCCATAAAGCACTTTTAAATAGTGAGGAGGGAAAATGATCCTTAAATTAGTTTGATAAAAACTAAACGCTCCCTCAGTTTGTTAACAGTTGACTTGGAGAAGCCACTGTGTCCAACGTCCTGGACAAATGAGGACGATTCTGGTTCTGGTTAAAAACTGATAAAGATATTTATAAATCACACCAAAAAAATTTTTTTACTTTTGTTGTTGTTGTTTTGCAGCTAATGACGCTGATGGGAAATAAACAAATGAATAAAATCCTGTGCAAGTGCCACAGTACGTTTAAACACTGAAGACATTAGAATACGTGGATTTTAATTTACTCTTAAATGTCACAAAAATGAGGCTTTGGGCAAAGAAAATGAAAACATCTAAATAAACAACTAAAAACAGTCACTTCTGTCATTTTGTAAACGTCAATGAAAAACAAATTCATTTACAAGATTCTTAACCCTGTAAAGCCCAACACATCCAAAAATAGCCAGAACATTCTAATTTTTTGGAACTGAGACGTTTATTAAACCTTTTAACAAAATCCAAAATATAATTCATGATTCCAAATTCAAGATTCATGAATTGTATTTGCCATATATGCATAGACAGACAGTCCAGACATATAGGAGTAGAGGTGCCATATTATTTAGATTATTTCTATTTCTTTTGTATCACATTTGATTTATGGAGCATTTTGGTGCTTTATTTATTTATTTTCATTTTTTAGAAACCTCACGTATCAAATATGATACAAATGGTTTTATAGGGTTAAAATGAGACACAAATAAATAAACACAACACACAAACAAAACCCAGGTGTAAAGTTTTTGCTGCTTCAGGTTAGTTCAGCATTTTAATCAGTTTTAGTTTCTCTGAAAAACAAACAAACAAACAAACAAACAGTACAGACACACTAAGGACAAAGTGCAAAAGATAAAAACAAAAAGCTCCAAAACAATTTTTACAAAATCAAAGTGGAAAAATTGACAAAAATCTTATTGATCTATTTATTTACACGTGTGTGTGTGTGTGTGTGTGTGTGTGTGTGTGTGTGCACGCCTCTTTCTGAGCTTCAGGGGCTTTAATTAAATTAAATTGGATTTTAATTGAATTTATTTGATCAGAGGTTTTATAACATGTCCTGTCTCATTCTAGTCTTCTTAAAGTTTCCACTTTGCTTTTTCAAATATGGATTTAAATACACAACAGGTTCATTTTTTGAAGTCAAACCGTAAAATGCAGCTCGTTTACAGGCTCATGTTTGTTTTGCAATGAAAATCCAAGACCAGATGAGGATTTTATTTTCAGACGTTAGCCCTGAATTTATTTCTGTCCTTTGAACAGTAATAATTTCACCTCCTTCCGTTTCTGAAATCGGATCAGTTGATGCCGTTTTGCTGCTTGAACTCTGGCTAAATGGGCTTTTGTGAACTATCATCTGCCTCATGTTTCCACTGCAGTTTGTGTTTGCTTGGTTTTTGCATCGTGTTGCTCAGACAGCTGATCTGAGGACGGCCGATCGATAGCACAGCGATCGATACTTTGATTGTCAAATGCTTCTTCAGAAACAAAGAATCACACGTTTCCTGTTTTTCTGCTGCGGCCTCGAGGCTCCTGCTGATGTGAGGGTCCCTTGGTGCTTTGCTGAGGTCAGTGCACGTAGATCTGCTTTTCATGACGTTATAATGTAGATTAAAACGTTGTACGTGCACAGAAAGGTTTCTTCTTCCAATAGTTGTTTTTTTATTTAGCACTAAACCAGAGATGTGAATAAAACAAACTGCTGGTTTGTTTCATATGATTTATGGAATTAAACTGGTGCATTTTAGCAAACACACATTTCAAGGGAATTATTGACTGAGGCATAGTTTTTAGAATCTGAGAAAAATCTGATTGATATAAGCAGCTTCCAACTTAAACTCAGTGTAAAGTCAGTGCGTTCAGCCACGCACGTTAAAAACAACCGAAATATTTGGCCTTAATGCTGTAAAAGGCTGCGACTAATGGAACCTGCCACGTGTTGAAATACAGTCCAAATGTGACCATTTCTAATTAAAGAAATGTCATTAAACTAAAATATGTTTGGAACATTTTGTCATTTTACTAAAACCTCGGTGTCACGCTGTAAATGGCCGCCTCCTGTTGAGGTCACATGATTCTGCACAGGTTTTACTCCCCTCACCAAAAATCTAAATGAAAACATTTGTTCCACATTTGTCCCTGCAGTTGGCTGAAGGCCTCGTATCTCCGATTGTCATGATTTTAGTGCAAACTGAAGGATTAAACGCTTTCATTTGGATCATTTGGCTGAAAAAGCCCCACTGACCATTAAAAACTAAAAGTCTCAGCGTTGCCATCTGTGGAGGAAGACCGTGACATGCGGCTGAAAGCTCTGGCAAAGTTCACTTTATAAAACTACGTTTGTATGGTCAAGACTGAAGCTTCAGGCTTCAACAGCCTGTTTTTGTTTTTTTGGCAAAGCAAAACTGGGATCTGCATATAGTGCGTGTGCGCGCTCAGAGTAGATGATGCAGAGGCCTCCTGCTCTCAGCCTCCTCCGGACACTTTAAACCCGGAGCAGGTTTCCGGGTAGACGAGGTGGAGGCGGCAAAAGATATGTTATTTTTAACATTAGGATGTTTGTACGTGGCCCTTAGCGCGCATGCGCAGGAGGTTTCCGCTCATTGAGGCCTACACACACGCACACAGTGACAGTCTGGGCTCTGATGAGGAACAGAAAACCTGTTACAGCTGCGCCGTTTTTGCATAATTTAGTATGAAGAGTCGTTCTGCCAAAACAATAACATCGGTTTATTTACTTGTTTGTTCAGAGAACAGTTGTTCATATTAACATCGGGCCTGTCCTGGGTCCAACCTGAGTACAGATATGACTTTTAGGCCTTTCCTCTCAAAACCCTGATTGTTTCTGCTGATTTTAAGGCTTTATTTATTCGTTAAGTATTTATCCAAAGGTTTTTCCTCCCGAAAGAGATTGATTGTCTCAAAATGCATAAATAATGATTTACCCTGTAGGTCTCACTTCATCCCCTCGACACTGAACGAATGTACACTGGCAAATAGAATTTAAATACATTATACAATAAATACAAAACATAAATAAAAGACTCAATGAAGTACTGAAAATCTTTGTACACGATATAAATAGCTTGAAATATACTTAGCGCGTTACCTTTGGCAAGTCTACAGCTGTACAACCCGCGGTAACAAGTTTGTCCCTTTTCAATAAAATGCCTAAAAAGAACCGAAACCAACCCGCTGCACTTCGGGGCGGAACGTGGCCAGAAGGTTTCACTTCATATCCATTTTTGTAATCAGTGTTTTATAGTTGCCGTCTATTGTTTGCCCTTAGCACGCCATCTTTTGTGCGTCCTCGCCCCGGTGCCATCCACGGATAGGTGACGGGGGAGGGGGGGGGTCAGTTTAGGAAAGCATTTGGGGTTACCCTCTTTTGATGGGACAGCATCCCAGGAAACCCCGCAGACACGCCAGGGGAGAAGGCGGGTAGGGAGCTGTTTCTGAGGGAGTCTGAGAGCAGGGCCTGCGCGGAGCTGCTGGTCGCCAGGCCGCCGAACCCCTGTGCGTTCTGCTGGAGATGTGGAGGCGTTGGAGGAGGGGGCCGCCCTCCCGGTGCCGCGGCAGCAGCGTGTTGGTTCCCTGACACAAAATACCCAGGACAGCAGTCCGACCGGCGATGTGCTCATCCCGTAACCGTTCGTCAAGCCCAGCGTCCCGGCGGCCGACCCGCCGAGAATGGTGCGCCCAAGGTCCCCGTTGCTGAGCTGCTCCACGGCGGGCAGCAGCGACCCGTAGCTGGCCGCCTGGTTCAGAAACCCGGGTGAGGATCCGTTGTAGTGTGGGTGATGGTGGTGGTGATGGTGCAGGGAGAGAAACGGAGAAATCTGCCAGTAGAGCGGGTTGTTCGCCCGCTCGTTAATCCCCAAGCCGAGCGGTGCGAAGCGCAGCCCGCGCTTCATCGCCAGTTTTCCCCGGGAGGTGGCCGAGCGCCTGCGGAGCTTCCCGGTAGTCCCTCCGATGAAGACGTCATCGCTGCTCGGGTCTAGCATCCAGTAGTTGCCCTTCCCCGGGTCGTCGTAGTGCCTGGGCACCTTAACGAAGCACTTATTGAGGCTCAGGTTGTGCCGGATGGAGTTCTGCCAGCCCTGTTTGTGCTCCCGGTAATACGGGAAGTTCTTCATGATGAACTCATAGATGCCGTTCAGCGTGAGCCTCTTCTCGGGGCTCTGCCGGATGGCCATCATGATCAGGGCGTTGTAGCTGAACGGAGGCTTGTCATGTTTTCCGTTTTTCCCGTCAGTATTTTGCCCCGGTGTTGCCTTGGCTCCGACCTGTCCTCCGTCTCCCCCCACGTCCTCGTTCTCCTCCTCCCCCCGTTCCTCCTTCCCCGGTTTCTCCAGGTCCAGAGCCGCGGCCGTGGAGTCCACCTCCGGTGGTTCCAGCGACTTTTCAGAGTCGGAGCCCGGAGAGAGAGGGAGGGTCCCGGGGATTCCGGTGACCGCGGCGGCGGCAGCAACAGCAACGGAGTCCGCTCTGTCGCACTTGGTTGGCAGCAGGAGGCTCTTGATGCTGAAGGAGGAGGACCGGTGGACGGTCGGCGGGTCTTTTACGTCCTCCATGCCCGGTGGCGGGTCTCCCAAACACGAGGAATGAATAATAATGCAAACTAATAACAACTCCAAGCTCGTCCGCCTCCGTTATCCAGACTGGAAACGAAAGCGTGACAGAGAGGAGAGAGAAGGAGGGTCAGGATGAGAGATACATGGATGGAGGAGAGGAGAGAGAGAAAAAGCGGCAGACAGGGAGGGAGAGAGAGAGAGACGGTGGCTTTGATGGGAAGAAATGAGTAATTAAGGAGGTTCCGACTTCCAGCTACATCACGAGGAGGAGGAGCTTCTCCAACTTGGTGGTTTTGTCAACACAGCCTGTTTTCTGCTTCTCCCTCTCGGTCCTCTCGGTCCTCCCGTCTCCTCCCGGAGACTCTGGAGACCTTTAATGTTCTAACAACACAACCTTGTTTCATTCTTATCTGCTCTCTTTCATCCATCTTTATTCATGCGCGTGCGCTTCCCCCTAACTTCGCTCATGTATTTGTGTGGTGCGTCATGCACGCTCTTCTTTGTGCATGTGTGCGTAAAATCCTACTCTGAGCTTATGCGTAAAAGCGCGTGTCTGTTTGAGTATGCGTGAGCCTGTGTATGTGCGTAAAGGCGCACGGCTTTGTTTTCTTATGGACTGTAATAGTTTGAATTCATGCCGGCAAACAAAGCGCATGCACACTGGGTGTGCGTTCATGTGGGCGGACCACTGAGCGCGCCGCTGTTGTCGGTTAATAAAAATCATTGAGTAGGACACACGCACACACACAGACGGCAGGTCTGACGCGGTCACCAGCGCGCCTCCTGTCGGTAGCAGTGAGTATTGGTCACAACCAACTGCCTGTTGTGAGTAAACATAATAATAATAATGATGATAACAGACATGCAGAGTGACCATCAGTGCCACACATCACATCCTGTATCAGCCTGTTCCAGCTCTGCATTGAAGCTTAACCATGTTCAGACTGAGTCAGAGTCAAACTCCTGATTTTTATGGCTTTAGCTGCCGTTGAGGATGAGGAGGTGTCTCCGTGTTGTGTCTGTTGATTTGGTGATTTTAATGATCCCTGGACGCGTTCATGTGGCACACAGTGGGTTATGAGCTATGGTTTAATGCAAAGTAATTAAAGTCAATTCAGGGGAGTCAGTTATTGTTCCCCAGTTTGTGGTTGTGTGGGGAGTCCTCTGAAACATGTAGGAGGATGTAGTTTACAGAAACCAAACCATTAAACTAATGAACATAATGTTGAAAAGGACCTGCAGAGCTTGGACAGGCCACAGTGGGAGGCCTTATAGTATAACTGTAGTTCTTTAGGTCTTCTTCTTCTTCTTTCGGCTGTTCCCGTTAAGGGTCACCACAGCGAATCATCTGTTTCCATCTAACTCTATCCTCGGCATCCTCTACTCTCACCCAGTTAAATTGTAATTCTTTAGGTAATTGATGGAAAATTGGTTGATTATCATTCTGACAATAAATGAATATATTTTAAAAGTTTTTTTTAGTGCCAGCCTCGTCACTGTGGTCATTTTTCTGTTTCACATCAGTTCAAAATGGTTAAAATCCTGTCAGGGTTAATTATTGTTGTTTTTTTTTTAACATCACTTTAATTTTATTTTACTGTAAATGTTATTTGTAAGAGAACAGATTCTCCAAGCCACATTCAGAGAAACAGCGTGAGCTCGGTGATTACTGTTTGTTTACACTCACTGCAGATTGTGTATGACAACAGAACTCAAATCCAGATTACACACACACACACACACACACACACAGGTCTTCCTCCTCCATTGTGCCGTGTTAAATCTCTGCTGTGTTTTAGTGCCAGATGGTGTTTCTGTTTGACTGGATCTGAATCGCCAACAAAAGCTGCCCCCCACCCCCACCCCCCTCTGATACCGTTACTTTATTTGAACCATCACTTCAGCAGCTGACTTGTGTTTATGTCTCTGAACCAAACACACCACAGGACACAGGTGAACAGAGTTCTTTACGTAAACCTTTATATTCAGACAGAAGAAGGATTATGACGTCAGAATCAGAATCAGCTGTTTTGGTGTAGTGAACACACGAGGGACTTGACTCCGGTACGGCGGCTCCCAGTGTGCATGTACAATGTTCATGGAGGCCACGGAGGCAGTGACTTTGCAGCTCTAATGGGACAAGATGGAAACAAAAGTCTTATTAGTTAATGATGAATAAAAGTACAAAAAAGTGGTTGAGCTGTTAAAATCTTGGGTGTACTAGCTTCAGAAATCCACCAATCTGGTACATTACGTCATCGTCTCCCCTCCGTGACCTCACAGAGCTCATAACCTCCGGTAAACCCTGTGGCTAAACTGGAGTTCAGAGGTCATGAAGACAGAGCAGCGCTGAACTGCAGCGTCTCTAGAGCTCAGCCGTTTGTAGCCGAGTTTGTGCTTTACCTTCATGAATAAGTCAAATACTGTAGCCGCCTCATGCAGATCACAGGTCCCAGCAGTGGTGACGCAAACATTCACGCTGTGATGCATAATTTACCGCTAACACAATCTATATTTCAGAGGAGGCACTGCTGTTTAACACAAACATTTAACTTGAGTTTAAAGCAATTGTCCGTTTTTGGTGAGTCACTACAAAAAATAATAAAAACAGCTTTACTGTTATTATGGTTGTGATTATAGAGGAAGAGGCAAAGAGCAGTTTGTGGTGTCAGTTTGTTTTGAGTTTCTCTTGACCATCGAGGCTGAAGAGAATTAGGCAGCGTACGACTTCACCAAACATCACAGTGTATAGCTTCAGTAAAGGCCGATCAAGGCCCCGTTGGTGTGCAGAGACGTCTTTGTAACAACCCTACAGCTGCCAGAGTCGCACTGTCGAGGTACAGGTAAAACAAAAGTGATCAAAACCAGTCTTGTGCGAGTTCCTGCAGTGTTGTTATTTTACTGTGGTAAGTTTCCATGGTTCTGTGTTTGCTGTGTTCTATCTGTGGTGGTTTCCAGCAGCGTGGCTCCAGCCCTCCCCCCCGCTCGGCTGAACTTTATCTGAACCTTCATTTGAACCCTGAATGAACTTCTCTGACCCATTAATCTGTTTTGGGTGTAAACGGGGCTCCACGGTGGCCCGTGAGCGACATTTTGTGTTCAGCGTCAGCAGAAGAAGAACCCTGTGAACCACAGACCACATGCAGATTAGGCAACTGCAGAAAAAGAAGAGGAGGAAAGGGAGGAGAGATGGAGAGCAACAGTCACCTGATTAACACGAGAGTTCATTTCAAATCTGACAAATCGTGTATTTCATTTGCACTCCAACTGAAACCAGTGACAAAACGTGACAGTTAGTTTTTGTACCAAATGACAATAAAACAGTTGATCTGAAATGAGATTGTGCAGAGTTTGGTAAACACTGTGTTGCTGTTGTGCACCAAAAGAGCTGTCTGCAGCATTTTTAGTTGTCTGTCAGAGCAAAATCACGTTTTTGCAAATGGGTCAGTCAAGACAGACTCCAGCCCTTCAGCGCACGCACTAGCAACTGAAACGACACTTCAGTCTCAACTGTCAGCGTCAGAAATAACCATAAACTCAAGGCTTAGCATACAGCAGTGCCCTTTGAGGCTCACGCACGTGGACTTGTGTTGCTGCTTTAGGAAGTAGGAGAATGTCTTGTTTTATTTTGTGTTGTGTTGCAGCAACATGGCTGCCAGCCCAGAGAAAGGGTTTAAGGGTGAGACACCTGAGTTCTGTATGCGAAGCCTCTATACAAAACATCCGTCATTTGTTTCACTTTTATTTGTGCACCGTGCAAAGCATAGAAGTCAGGGAAAACCATCCCTGTCTCATCAGTCTCTTCCTTTGTGTCTTGGTTGGGACCTGTAGTTATTAAATGATTAGAATAAGAGTTTTTACTTCTAACCCCAGTTAGATGACAAGAAGCTGCAGAAAGTCACCACACTGACTGTAGTTCAACAAGAAATAGATTCAGCTGAAAATGCAACTCACCCAAAAGACAAATGGCCATTTTTATAAATAAGGTACCCAATGTTTAGTGACTTTTAGATGTGTTTTTGAGCTCTACACAGAGCTAGGCTCATCCAGTAGCTGTTTCCTCCGGCTTCTGGTCTTTATGCTAAGCTAGGCTAGCCACATCCTGACTCCAGACATGAGATTATCTGTCTGATCATCACACTCTCAAAAGCAAAGCAAATAAACGCATCTCCAAAAATGTTGCACTATTCCTTTAATTCACCCCAGGTCCCCTGTTGTGTGTCGTCAGCAACAAACACGCCCCTGGTTAGATGTACACTGAACATACAACAGCAGCCACACGGTGCCACGCTCATTGCATGGCTGCAGAGAAATAAACAAACCCTCACACACACTCACCAGCCTGGTACCATCAGCCACACACAAACAATCTCTCAAGCTGTTTTGCCAATGTAGGTCAGTGTGTGAGAATCCCAAATGAAATGGAGGGAGGAAGAGGAGGAGGAGGAGGAGGAAAGAAAAACATCCCAGAATGAATCAACCAAATGTTTTGATTTGTAACGGACGCTCCGTTGGGTCTCTGCCTCGTGGCAACATGGGAGCTCTGTCGCTGTGCCAACCAGGCCTGCCTCCTCCTCCTCCTCCTCTTCCTCTCTATGATGAGTGTGTAAGTTTCCATGCCTTTGTGGGGACTCAGCCATCACCAAATTTTGGGGTGGTGACATAGTTTAAGGTCAGGGGAAGAGGTTAAGGTTAGGATAAGTCTACAGGAAATAAATGTAAGTCAATGTAAAGTCCCCACAGGGAATGAAAACACAGCGTGTGTGCACTGAAGTGTGTGTGTGTGTGTGAGAAACACCTTGTGCGGGTTGCATGCATGAATGCACTTGTAAATGTGTGTTGCTGTATGGGAGGAGCAACTTGAGTGTGTGTGTGTGTGTGTGTGTGTTCTACGCTGAATCTCGGTGCTATTAATAGCCGTAAACTGCCGGTGACCCCGAGGCTGCGAGCGCAGTCAGCCTGATTTGGTTTAGCTTCTCTCAGTGCAACAGCTCAGCTGTAATAATACCGCCAACATGGACTCAGCTCCTCCCTGCTCTATTCTCCCCAGAGGGAGTCACCGGGGTACTGTACGGCCATCTCACTCTTAACCTGCTCTGACAGGAAGTAAGTTCC